CCTCCGCTTCTTCCTCCTCCTCCTCGTCCAATTCCGCGTCCGTCTGTTCTTCTTCCTCCTCCTCCTCCTCCTCCTCCTCCTCCTCCGCCTCGTCCCCTTGCTCCTCCACCCCCTCCTGTTCTTCCGCCTCCTCCTCCCTCCTCCTCCTCCTCCTCCTGCTCCTCCTCCTCCTCAAATTCCAGCTCATCCGAGGCGGAGGACTGGGTATGGGGAAAGAGAGAGGAGGGGGACTGCCTCCTCCTCCTCCTTTTCCTCTCCTCCTCCTCCGCCGCCTCCTCCTCCTCCTCCTCCTCCTCCTCTTCCTCCTCCTCACATTCCTCGTCCTCCTGATGTTCCGCCTCCGGCTCCTCCTCCTCCTCCTCCTTCCTCCTGCTCCTCCTCCTCCTCCTCTTCTTCCTCCTCCGCTTCCTCCTCTGCTTCCTCCTCCTCCTCCTGATCATCCTTGTCCTCATCATATTCCTCCTCCTCCCCCTCCTTCGGCTCCGCCGCCGCCTCCGCCTTCTCCTCCGCCTCCTCCTCCGTCTCCTCCTCCGCCTCCTCCTCCTCCTCCTCCTCTTTCCTCCTCCTCCTCCCGCTTCTCCTCCTCCTCCTCCTCCTCCTCCTCCTCCTCCTCTTCCTCCTCTTCCCGCTCCTCCGCCTCCTCCGCCTCCTCCTCATTATAATCCTCCTCCTCCTCCTCCTCCTCCTCCTCCTCCTCTCCTCCTCCTCCTCCTCCTGCTCCTCCTCCTCCTTCTCTCCTCCTCTCCCCCTCCTCCTACTCCTCCTTCTCCTTCTCTCCTCTCCTCTCCTCTCCTCTCTTCTCCTCTTCCTCTTCCCCCTCCTTCACCTCGTCTCTCCTCCTCCTCCTCGCCCTCCTCCTCCTCCTCCTTCTCCTCCTCCTCTTCCTCCTCCTCCTACGCCTCCTCCTCCTCCCCCTCCTCCGCCTCTCCTCCTCCTCCTCCGCCTCCTCCTCCTCCTCCTCTTCCTCCTCCTCCTCTTCCTCTTCCTCCTCCTCTTCCTCCTCCTCCAGTCGTGGACAAGAATAGGCCTAGAGAAGATGCATCGACCCCCAATCGCCCCTTCATCGCCGACATGGGGCCCGTGACCCAGCCCCGCCCAGGAATGTCGCCCAATGGGCGGGGGGGGGAGGGCGCTCAAGGGGGGGGGCGGAGAAAGGTGGTGCACTTTTCGGGCCCTCTGGAGGCAAGCCTCTTGGCCCCCAAAGGGCCCCTTCAGGGGGCCCTTTGAGGGCCCCCTTTTCTGCAGCCCTCGCGGCCCCCACATCCATCGCCACCCCCATTTCGCGACGCCCAAGTGGCGGAGGCCTGCGATGCGCCGGGCAGCTCTGCGTCAGGCCACGGGCCGTCGCGCCGGGTGGCCACTCTCGGGGAGGGCTGGCCACTGTGAGATCTGGGCGCTGCAACCTTTTGACACTGGGCGTGCTCTTCCGTTCTCGGCCCAGGGGTCATCACAGATCGATCCGGCTGGCAAAATGCCGCAGAAAGATAAGACCAGGGCTCTGGTCGTGATTTTTCCGACCCTGGCCAGGCCCCTCCGCGGGCCAGGGTCGGTGTACGTAGCACCCCGCAATTGCGGATAAGAGTGAGGGGGCGGGCGCGGGCGACGCGGGCGTCGTCGAGCCGGCGGACCTCGTGGCCCCCACCTTCCTTGTCGATGGCGCTCTCTTCCACCTCCTCCTCCTCCTTCTCCTCCTCTTCCTCCTCCTTCTCATCCTCCTCTTCCTCGTCCTCATCGTCATCGTCATCCTCCTCCTCCACCTCGTCCTCCTCCTCTTCTTCCTCGTCCTCCCTCTCCCCCCCTCGTCTTTTCATCATGGTCCTCCCATTGTCGTCCTCTCCCTGATCGACCTCCATCATCGTCCTCCCATTGTCGTCCATCATCATCATCCTCCCCATCCTCCCCCTCCTCGTCCTCCTTCTCCCCCTCCTCCCCCTCCTCCCCCTCGTCCTCCTGCTCCTCCTCCTTTTCTTTCTCCACGTTCTCCTTACATCCTCTCTTCTTCTACGTTCTCCTCGTCCCCTGTTCACTCATCCTGCCTCCCCCTCCTTTCCCAAGATAACTGCAACGCAATCCTTTTTTCCCACTTTATGCTCCCCGCCTTTTCTGATCAAGGCAACTCGCCAGGGCAAAGTTGCTGGACGGGCTGGCGTGGATGTGCGGGGCGTGCAGAGGTCCTTGCGGGCTCAGACGGCATGCAAGAATCCGCCGCCGCGCTTGTGCGGCATTGGTTTGTTCAGTGAACGTGGTTTAGGTCGCCGGTGGGTCGCGGGCTCTCCACCTCCACCTGGAAGGAATGCAAAAGCAGCCCGCCGCAAGCGCCAACAAAAATTGGTTCGTACACGGAACGAGGTTTGGGTCGCGGGTGGGCCGCGGGTTCTCCACAGGGAACGAATGCAAAGGATGCCCGCCGCAGGCGCCGAAAATGTGGTTTGTACCCTGAACGTGGTCGCGGGTGGGCCGCGGGCTCTCCACCTGAAACGGATGCATAACATGCCCGCCG